AAGGAAAAACCATTGAAATGGGCGCTCGGGGAATGAGGTTCAGAAGAGGAACATGTACCTGAAAGAAACATAAGACTATCTTCTCTTACTTTCTCAACCATGACCTTTCACTTTAGCATCTGTGTAAGAAAGTGCTGGTAAAAATCATGAGACCATTTACTACAGATTAAATTCAATTCATTTAATCAAATCAAATAAATATTGAGCACCGGCTGCAGCCATGTGCTAGATGCTGCGGGGAATGAAAAGTAAGCCACAGTTACTGCCTTCAAAAAGTCTATAATCTAATAAAAGAAAAAACTATAAAAAAGGAACGTGGCATGGTGGGGGGAAAATGGATTTAGAGGGTCAGAAGACAGGTGCAATTTCTTTGTGCCCACTAGGCCCTTTTTCTGGACCATTTCCCACGTGCCCCTCCTTACCAGCCACCATTACCTTTTGACTCATTATCCTTTGGAACTCAAGAAGGTGTTTAGGCTCTTCTGACTTGGTCAGAGCCCTATTTTATAGTCCTACTATAATCTTGAACCTTTCCTAAGTAACACTTCTAACAGATGGACATTTGCATTTCTGGAGGGAAAGAAGGAGAGAGGGAAAGCCTGGCTGACATTTACTAGGCTTAATAGCCTGCAAAGGAGGTCTCTACACCCTCATCTGTAACATAGAGATAGATGATAATGTCCACTTCCCAGAGTTGCTATGGGAATCCTGTGACATTGTCAACAAGATGCTGTTTTATAAAATGTGAAATGAATAGCATTTTAATACAGGGCAGATTGCAGAAAGCATTTTAGCAGTCTGAGGTGAAAATACAGAGCTAAAAGAAAATGAAGGAAAGGCAATTAATTCCCTCCAGAACTGAGGCCAAAAATGGACCAGCAATGGAAAAGGTGGTAGATGGCTGAGGGATGAGTAGATTTTAATAAACAGAGGTAGAACACCTACTTCCTATATTCACGCTACAGAAAAACGTGTGTGAGCGTGCCTGTGTGCGTGTGCACGCATGTATGAGTGGGCTCCTCACCAGAATTTCACTCTGCAGGGCATGGATTCCCATCTGCTTTGCTCATGCCTATGTTCCCTATACCCATAAGGATGTCTGGTACATGGTCGGGTCTCAGGAAGTGTTTACTGATTGGACGAATAACCGAATGAATGAAGAGGATAGAGAATATCAGAAGAAATGTTCGGAGTTTTTAGAAAAAACGTGTCTGGCTCCCTTCGAAAATGGGGTTGCTGTGAGGCACATGGGCTTGGAGAGACCAGGTTACACAGGAGGAGGGACAGATGAGTAAGGGAGCCAGAACACGTGGACACATGCACCGGTAGCTGCTGAGCACCCTGGTGGTGCTGGTGGGACTTCGAATGCCTCGGCCTGGCTGATTTGCAGAATTTTCCGTTTTCTAACGAAAGCCCCTAGCGCTGACATCTTTAGGGGAAACTGAAGGGAAAGTGCTCCCTGTTGAAAACACTGAAATGAAGGGCACCTGGGTGGCTCAGTTGGTTAAGTGTCCGACTTCGGCTCAGGTCATGATCTCATGGTTCGTGGGTTCAAGCCCCACGTCAGGCTCTGTGCTGACAGCTAGCTCAGAGCCTGGAGCCTGCTTTGGATTCTGTCTCCCTCTCTCTTTGACCTTCCTCTGCTCACGCTGCCTCTCTCTCTCTCTCTCAGAAATAAACAAAACATTTAAAAAAATAAAAAATTTTAAAAAAGAAAACACTGAAATGAAACAGCCAGACTCAGCCTCATAACCAATCATCACGTTCTCCTCTGCACACCAAGGGTCTTTGACAACATGTGACATATGACAGGGAAGGAAAAAAAAACACATCTGTAATTATAATAAAGATGAAAACTATGGAAATCATCAGGAGCATCTGAATTCAGAACGCCAATGAATGTAAATCATGTTATTTGCATAGAAATGTGGTAACCCTACAGATATTGGTTAAAATTCATAAGTAGATGAATAATGAATAAAATGGCAGTTTTCAAATTATGAAATAAAAGTGTGATTACTCTTACCTTTTGGAAAAAATCTCACTCTTAGACGTGCCTAATAAGAAATGGGGCACTGAAAATAAACTGAGTGCCCGAGACTTTTAGTCAGCATATCACACCCCCCTTTTTTTTAATGTTAAGTAATGACTACCTAATCAGTATCTGTGATAATGATCTGTAATCTTACCAGTGTGAGATTGATGATAAATACCAAGTGCTGATTTCTTAATAACATGAAAAATAAATATACAACACATTTTCAGGTAGGAGTCTTCTTAGCCATCCTTAATGAGAAGTCCTTACAGTCCAGCTACGGTAATACAATTCAAGTAAAAGATTTTAAGGTGTCATTTTAATGCAAATAACCTAGCTGCACACTTTTAAGCTATTGGTGCCTAAAGCTTATTTTTATCTAAGGCTCAGATAGTAAGATTGTTGGATATAATTGAGTTCTTGTCTAATTACATAAAGACTAATTTAGAACCTCATTTATTTGGAGAGTCTCTCGCATAGCAAATCCATTTAAAATGACACATAAGAGCAGGTAATTAAAAATTAAAGTTGAAATCAAGATGAAAAAGGCAAGATTGAAGCTGGCTTCGACTGCTTTGATTAGTGGTGGAGGCCAGTTGAATGGGGGGAGGGGCTTAAAAGGCTTTGAAAGAGACAAAGGAAGAGGGGGAGGAGGGCACACAGGTCCCTAAGGCATCAATGCTTTTGAAATTTTTTCCAATATATATGAAGCTGATCAGGAAGGGTGAGCTTATTAAGTATGGATGAATACTGGGGATTCCGAGGCATGGACCCCTTCCCCGTCCTGGACGGGAATGTTCCTTGGCTAAGAAAGGGGAGGACACAGCATCCAGATAAGCAAGGCAGTATACGTGCTGCACCTGCCAATAACAGGCTCTTCTGAACAGCAAGCTCCCGGAGCTGCTTCAGCAATAACTTGCGCACACACACACACACACACACAAACGCGCACACACACACACACAGACACACACACACACAAACACGCACACACACACACACACACACGCAAATGGTCTTTGATCATGTGTTTTACAGTTTGCAAAGGGCTTTTACATACATAAACCTCACTTCCTCCTCACACCCACCCAAGAAAGAACAGGTACTCTCACTAAATCTATTTCACAAGTGGAGAGAAATGGAGGTACTAAAAGGTTAGGTAACACACCTGAGGTGTAACCCATCTAAAGTGCTGGGACCAGAGGTCAAATGCGTTGACTCCAAACCCCAAACTGTTCCATTCCCTGTTGGTTAGTACTTGTTTTCCTTTTTTAAATTTTATTTTAAAGAGAGAGCGGGGTGCCTGGTGGCTTGGTTGGTTAAGCATTCGACTCTTGATTTTGGCTCAGGTCATGACTGAGCCAAAATGTGAGACAGCGCCTGCTTGGGATTCTCTCTCTCCTCTCTCTCTCTCTCTCTCTCTCTCTCTCTCTCTCTCTCTGTTTCTGCCCCTACCCCACTCACCGTCTCTCAAAGTAAATAAGCTTTAATAAAATAAATAAAATAAAATAAAGTAAAATAAAATAAGATAAAAGAGCATGCATGAATGGGGTAGAGGGGCAGAGGGAGGCTCCACGCTGACATCAGGCTCGATCCTATAACCTCGGCATCATGACCTGAGAGAAAATCAAGAGTTAGATGCTCAAATGACTGAGTCACCCAGACACCACTTTTTCTTATTTCTGTCACTCTTACTAGATCTTTCTTTCTCTTTTCTCCCTCTTCATTTTCCTTTTACCAAACTTCCCTCTCCATATCTTTCATCTTCCTCCCTTCCCTTGCTATTTTCTTGCTCATTCCCTCCTATTCCTATTTGGGCCATGACTGCCAGCAATCTCAGAGGCTACAGCTCAGCCAAGCAGACATTCTCGGATCCTAAGAGTCTGGTGGTGCACTCTGAAAGGCAGCAAGCTTTTCTGTTTCTGAGGTTGTTTCCATTGCAGCAAGACCATTGCCCCTGACAACTAGAGTGGAGCTTGGGAAGTGGTACCTCAGTTATCACCTGTGTCCCAGTTATAAGGCTTATTGCTATCCCCTCTTGCTGCATTAAATAGACTATTTATCTAGAGAGATTGCTATATACGTGTGTATATATATACATGTTTAAAAGCCCAGCAGAGGTTGAATTTTCAAGAATTTTGTTGTCCTTCTGGGTCATTTGGGGGGATGCGTTGTTAGAAACACTCACTAAAAGTCAGCCAGAAAAGTGTTCTCTGTGCGACTGTGCTGTGACTCCCACCAATAGGAATACCTCCTTCAGCTGGTCAGCCCCCACGTCTCTCTGGAATCCCTACCACATGCCGGAGTTAGGGATGCAGCAGTTAGCAAGTTGCGAAAGGACCCTTCCCTCGTGGAGCAGACAGTCCAACAGGAACAGACATGGCACAAGTGGAACGAACGCCAGGCAGCATGTCAGCTGGGCAAATTCGGGGAAGCCCCCCTACTACCAGGACCTTGTCTTAGCAGAGAGAGACAATGAGCTCAGGACAAGACGCTTCTAGCACATCTGCAGGAGGCGACACAGTCTCTTAAAGACCACGGCTCTTTCAAATCAGCAGAAGACAGCATGCCCCTCATCTCCCCATCTCCCCCCCATCTCTTCTTGGCTCTTCCTTAAGAGTTGCCCCAGGGGGGCCAGGATAGGTGTGATACCTCAAGTCAAGAGGGAAGGACCCATGTGGATTTTGTGACTTGTAGCCTGACTTATCTCCCTCACATTACCCATGATTTGTAGCTATTAAGATGGTTATTCTTAATAGCTGTAAGGCTGTAATATTAATACAACTCGCAAGTTTAAAAGGAATACCTTGTGAAGTAGGTCTTTTTAATACGATCCCATCATACATAAATTATCGAGTTCTTGGTAAATAAAACGCAAGGCCGGGATGGAACTTGCCACGTGCACCTCTCCCCACGGACATCCTGTAATGAGATGTCCAGAAATGGCCTCCAGGTACACACTTACTGTTGTCCTCAGCAACACGACATCTGCCTCTTGCAAGGAACACGGGACACAGTTTGCCCACACGTGCCAGGCGGGTCTCCAGTAAAACACCAAGGGGAGGATCCCAAATGAGAAGATGGATCCAGCAAGACAGAGGGTTTTCCGGCAGCCTTGAGTCCGGTAGCCAAATATCTCCTGGGGAAGAACCAAAACGACCCCAAATATTGGTTAGGCACAATAAATAGCAAATGAAGCAACCGGGATTTTGGGGATAAAACTGGGGCAGAGACTGAAGTAGTTGAGGAGAGACTGAGAACATGGAGAAGGATCCCGGACAAAATAACACACGATCCCAAGCCTCCAGAACTCACGATCAAACTACGAAACACACTTTCTATAATTTGCGCACCTGACAACCCTGTGTCAAACACAAATGCTAGATGATACGTTATCTTATTTAAGTCTCTCCAGCAGCCCCTGAATAGGATAATGTTATCTTCATTCACAAATGATGGGGCTGAGCTCAGAAAGACCTGGCCAAGGCCACAGAGCTAGGAATTCTGCTTCCAAGATTCAAACCCAGGTCTGATCCACAGCCTTCACAGGCACGGTCGTGAGCCATGTGACAAGAGGACCAGATGACGGCAGCAACTGATAGTTCCCTTGGCTGGGACCAGCAGCCATATGGGCAGGACAGAAACAAGCCTTGAGTGTGGGGTCGGGATGTGATCAAAGTGACCCACTAGAGGATGAATAACTAAGCGCCAATCGGCTGTCAGGTGTTTGGGGGCAGAGCTGTGCTTTCCCACCTCCTCTCTTGTCCAGCAGCAAAAAGAACTTTACGCCATGGGGGAAAATCCATAGAAACAATGTGGGTATTGAACACTTGCCATGAGCTGGGAGGGGATATGAGAGCCGGGATGATACAAATATGAGCAAGGTAAGAGTCTTATACCTCTAATAAATTTATAATCTGGACAAGGAAAAATTAAAGATTTATAATCTTTCAAGGAAAGCCTGGGACAGAATGGAAAACCAGCCCTGAAGTTCATGGTCTCAGTCACACACCTAATTGCCCAAAGTCATAGGTATACTTGTGCTGATTATGGTGGCCAGAATTGTCCAGTATCTTGGTTAGCAGCACATTCTCTGGACCAAGACATGTTGGATTCAAAGCCTAACGCTGCCACTTCCTGGGTGTGACTTTAAGCAAGTTATCTAGCATCTTTGTTCTTCAGTTTGCCATCCATCAGATGGGGGTGGTGATAATACCCAGTTCCCAGGGCTGTGGCAAAAATTAAGTGGGTTACTAGAGGTAGGTGCTATGTAAGCATTTCCTGCTGCTGCCGCTTATGCTGCTGCTGCTGCTACACCTGATACAAGCTGACCACCACCCAGAAGTAGACCTGAAATTCTACCCCTTAGTCTGTTGGCACTTAGGTCTAAGAATTCCTAGCATCAGTGGTTCGGCTCCTGCTCAGAGTGCCTGTTAGGATAACAAGGAGGCTGGAACACACAATTTGAAATCAGCCGCCTTCTCTGTCTCACCTGATAAAGATTGCAGTATCAGAAAAGTTTCTGCGACCATTGGCTGAAAGCTGCTTCCATGTGTAGTTTTTGGGTGCCTTCCTCTTATTAGCAAGCAGTGCATGCAGGTGCTGGCTGACTGCCGTAGGTATTGTCCACATTTGGCATGACTTTGATGAAACGTTCACATTAACTCAGAAACATAAGCTCTTGGCTGATTTTGCAAACTAGAATGTCTATCTTGACATGAATTCTTTTTTGTCCCAAACTCAAGCTCTTGCTCTCAAGCTGCCAACTCTGGAATGGTTCTGTCCCCTCATTGTTCCAGAAGCAATGCTTCATTGAGCTCACTTTGAGCAGGATCCCAATCCTAAATCCCATACCTATCCTAAGTCCATCCCATCAAATTTTCCCATGTACTTTTTTATGTGCCTATACTTTGGAATAGCTCAACTTCTACCCAACAACCCAGAAACTGTATCATATTTTTTGAATGTTATATTTAAAGGCTTCTTTATACTGTCAGTCAATTGAGCACCCCCTCCACGTAATATGTCTGAGATATGCCAATTCTAGAAGCACTAATCTCCATGTTAGCATGCATTCTTTTATGGGCTCTGCAATGAGAGCCCTCTATAGTTTCCAAAGTGAATTCATGTTCACTATCAAAATAACCTAAGCAGGAATTATTATCTTCAATTTCCAGCTAAGAAAACTGAAGTGTAAAGTTATTATATGTAATAGATATTATTAGCAACTATTGTTGGTAATAATGACAGCAGCTAATATTTTCTGGGCACCTCAAAGCCCTTCACAAAGCCTTGGGCACCTACTCTCCCATTTAGTTGAAAAAGATAACATAAGTTTCTCAAAGTTCATCAGTAACTCAAAACTGGACCTCCAGTCAAGACCTTTGCAGCACAGGAGGATACCGTGAGTAGGTCATTGCCATTCTAAGGCTCTTCTTCACTCTGTCCTGCATTTCAGTTCAATTTAAACAAACAATTTTTAAGCATCCATCAAAGAGCAGGCATGTGCTAGACACAGAGATGGATGAGACAATGCCTCTAGCCTCAGGGAGCTCATTAGTTTAATGGGAAGAGAGACACACAAATGACAGGAACAAACAAGGTTAGAGCAATAAAAGGGTTACATAGAGGCGTGACTATAGAAATTGTCATCTGAAGTGGGTGCTATTAATAAAAATGCTGGAGGAACAGACCAGAAGGAGACAGTCAGGCCAGGTGAATATCCCCCAGTTATACAAGAGTGTTCCTTTATTTTATTTATTTTTTCACTTGGGAGAGAGGAGAATGAGAGAGAGAGAGAGCATGGAAGCAGGAAAAAGTGGCAGAGGGAGAGAGAGAAAGAGAGAGAGTCCAAAGGAAGCTCCACACTGTCAGCCTAGCGCCCAATACGGGGCTCGATCCCATGACTCTGGAATCATGACATGAGCAGAAATCAGGAGTTGGATGCTCAACTGACTGAGCCACTCAGGCACCCCCAGAGTGTTGCTTTAAAAGCTTACCTGCTCTCAGTCCTGTGGACACTACAACATCAGTTAATGGCTCATGACCCATAATCCATTGCCAAACTTTTAGTAGAAAGGCTGGAATAATGTGGACAAGGAGTTTTCAATTATTGCTTACTAAAGTGAGTTGAACTGGTCTGACTTGAATGGTACTGACTGCAAATTCCATTGCAGGGACTATTAATAGACACTGGCTTTAAAAATGCAAAAATTAGCATGGTGCTGTTTGTTATGATCCGGTAGCACTTTACTTCCTACACTATGGAGTGCCTCCCATGTTCCTGAAAATGCTTGAGAGAACTGTCCCTGCTACTCTGCACTCCACCTACCCCTACCCTTACCTCCCACAAAAGAAATCAATCTGAAAAAAAAAACAAAAAAAAAAAAAAACACACACCCAAAAAACAAAAAACCAACAAAACAAAATAAAACCAAATACTGAGAAAATGTCAAACGACTATCACACTCAGTGCCGTCAACATGCATTATAAATAGCACACTGTTCCTTTCTTTATTTCCCTTTCTACTCACTGATCCTTCTGTCCCTTCTGTCCCTGGTGATCTAGGTCTTTTGCATTCCTAAGGACTTAAACTTTAGCTTCCAAGTGTCCAGATCTTCTTCCCTGCAGAGCCCCTATACTCAAAAAGTCAAACTTATGCTCCCCAAAGCAATAATCTCAACTACTGCAGCCAACAGAACCCCTTAAAAATCTATAGATCCTGTCCCCAGAAAAATACACACAGATGTATATAAACAAACTTCTCTGTATAGATTCAGGGAATTCCCACAGAACCATAAGGCATGATTCCCATGAACCATAAGGTTCATAAGGCTGAATCAAGACTGATCTTTCCAGAGGTTATGCTCTGTACTTGTACTTACGGCCCCACACTAGGTGAGCACTGAATGATTGTAGAGGGTGTGAAGACCATGCTTCTGGAAATGCACATGAGAGGGTGATGAGAGTAGGACATTGGCTGACTCCAAGAAGCTTCGAAGGGTTATGTCATCATCCAGGGGCTCACCAAGTCGTGAGAGTGGCTCTCAGCTTCTAGCCCCAGAGATAGCTAGCAGAACACCTCTGGCCAGGAAGATTCAAGCTCACCAGGTCCCAGAAATGGGTTGGAATGAGAGAGTAAGATGTGTGTGACCATCACACGACTAGATGAATACGTGGGTAGGTATTAAGACTTTGTTCTCTTCCCAACAGCACCATCTCCAGTGATTGACCCGCCCATGGAGCTATATACAAACATAGTGCTTAAAATGGGTTCTAGGCTCTTCTCTGACCATCTCCCACCCTGACTGACTTGCCTTCTTTGAACATATTACTTAGTTCAAATTACAGTCAAATCCCATTAGCCTGGGAGCCATTTATTCTCTTTAAGACAATTTTGCATTTCATGGGGTGCCTAGGTGGCTCAGTCGGTTAAGCATCCGACTTCGGCTCAGGTCATGATCTCACGGCTCGTGAGTTTGAGCCCCGCGTCAGGCTCTGTGCTGACAGCTCAGAGCCTGGAGCCTGCTTCGAGTTCTCTGTCTCCTTTTCTCTCTGACCCTCCACCATTCATGCTCTCTCTCTGCCTCTCAAAAATGAATAAACATTAAAAATTAAAAAAAAAAGACAATTTTGCATTTCTTTACTGGCTTCAGTAAATATTTGAAAGTTTAAGTGATTTTTTAAAATCTCCCTTAAGATAGTCTTTTTCCCCCCTTATTTCCAAATTTGGGATGTGAAGAGAAATGTTTCACTGTCATTTTCATGCAACTACAACAAATTACGCTACATCGCTACATGAATACGATTTACATCACTGTGTATCCCAACCACAAATCCTACCCTACTCCAGTTTTCACTCAGTAGCTTCCTGCTTGACACTCTTCCGTGCGGAAGAATGAGTTACCCAGGTTCCCCGAAATTCATCTGACTCTAGATTGAAGCAAGATGCTCTCAACCTGCGTGACCTAATCCAGAAATCTTAAACTGGAGGCTCTAGAAGAATGGCCTGCAGACAGGTTTTTTGTCAGCCTGGTAAGCATTTCTTAAACCTTTCTGTTATCATATGTTTGCACGTATAGGAGGATTAGGAGGAACTTAACGGAGGACCGTGGGGGAGAAGAAGGGGGGAAATGGTA